ATTAAACTTGTATTCTGTGCAACTATAAGCTAGATCTTTATCAACTTACTGAGACTATTAATATTAACTCTGATCAAAACAAGCTATGCCTACATATATCAGAACTAAATATTAATTCAGTAATGAATAAAGCTAATTTAATAGTTTGTACTTATACTGATTAGAAAGATTTGTTTAATCAATTATGTACCCTCTCTTTTAACACTTGCGCTAAATAAATATTCTGATGGGATCAAATTCATAGAATTCTAACTTTTTCAAAATAATTGCACTGTAAGCTATGGATTAAGATGATGGGCACACTCCAAAAATAATATTTACGGTTTAACCACCGAAAGTTAGGGAAGCAATAGAAACCAATAGACCTAAAATTTGAGATATGAATATACCTTAAGTTTGTATTTTCTTGTAATATCTTTGCATTTATTCTGCAGGTGTGGAAGTTCTCGTATAGATAATACCTGTTCTGCCTGGAGGTAATGGTTTCTCCAATACTAATCGTTGTGGAAGAATGACGACAGCAGTGTCCTTCAGATGTTAACTCTAGTAATTTCTAGAGGTTATGGCTTTACAAGTGTTTAAATGACCACCACATGAGGAGCGATAGTTATTCTGATACATGAGTTTAGTTTAAGCAGTTGAATATAGAAGATTCAGTAGAAGTGATTGTCCCATGTCAAGTTCAAGTATACACAATGTGTTTGTGTTTCTCCTGTGAGTTAGTAAAGATTATTCATTTTGTGTCCAGTTTTTTTTTATTTCATACATTTTCACGACTCAGTTATTCATAGAATAAGTGGGCATATCCAATCAGTCTAAAGTTAATTATGTTTTACCTGGATATACCACAGCATGAAGAGGAAGGAGAAAATTTTGATGCTGTAACCAGAGAATATTTTATTATGAAGTTTCATACTTTCTGTTAATGTGTATATTCCCCTTTACTTGAACACTTGTATTAAATTTAAAAAGGCTTGAAGAATTGGTACTTTCCACAACCTGAAGGACTGAGAAGGAAAGTCAGTTACTTAAAGTAGACAGTTTGTACAATAAAGTTGTCGGGTCTAAGAAAAGTCCTATCATGGATGTCAGGCTCTTGCTGATGCCGCAAAGGTCCATGACTTCTAGCTCATTACTGCCACAAACTCAGGAAGGAAAACAGTAAAGTATGGACACCATATCATCCATTATGGATTACAATCTCATACGTTTCCATGTTTTTCTTACAGTAAAGTATGTACACTGTACCATCCGTTATGGAATACAATCCTATATGTTTCCATGTTTTTCTTACTGTAAAGTATGTACACTGTACCATCCATTATGGAATACAATCTCATACGTTTCCATGTTTTTCTTACAGTAAAGTATGTACACTGTACCATCCATTATGGAATACAATCTCATACGTTTCCACATTTTTCTTACTGTAAAGTATGTACACTGTACCATCCATTATGGATTACAATCTCATACGTTTCCATGTTTTTCTTACTGTAAAGTATGTACACTGTACCATCCGTTATGGAATACAATCCTATATGTTTCCATGTTTTTCTTACTGTAAAGTATGTACACTGTACCATCCATTATGGAATACAATCCTATACGTTTCCATGTTTTTCTTACTGTAAAGTATGTACACTGTACCATCCATTATGGATTACAATCTCATACGTTTCCATGTTTTTCTTACAGTAAAGTATGTACACTGTACCATCCATTACAGATTACAATCCTATATGTTTCCATGTTTTTCTTACAGTAAAGTATGTACACTGTACCATCCATTATGGATTACAATCTCATACGTTTCCATGTTTTTCTTACTGTAAAGTATGTACACTGTACCATCCATTACAGATTACAATCCCAGGTCTTTTCAAGCTTTTGCTACTGTCATCCATTATGGATTACAATCCTAAATATTTCCATGTGTTTAATATATGGTTTGTAGTTTGATAGTTCTTTACATTTTTTTTTACATGCTTTTCCTCCAAAATGTTCACATAAATATTGAGTAACTGAGGACTTATGGATTTTTGGAATTGAGAATGTTCAGATATATTTCTATTAAACTATATGTAAGCAGGACTTAAATATATTGGCTTTAATGCTTTGTAATGAAATTTTGTTAACTGTTGTTGTATAAAGTTTAGAGCAAGCCTGCATCTTATCTCTGGTGATTAGTCTCTAGTGGATATTTGGTTGAAGTTCAGTAAATAATCTAGCTGAAAGCTTTGTACTTGAAACATGATTTTAGTATTTTCACACAGATGGTTATGTGGTTTGTAATTATGGGTCTTTCAACAAGTGTATGGTATGAATGCTTTGTCCTGATTTCATCAAATAATTTAATTATTAGAAAGATATTCATAGGTTTGTGTGTGTGTGTGTGCCTGTATATATATATATATCTGCTGTACGGCAGGCGGATGTACGTACAGGCAGATATATTTACGTTAA